CTGGGTCCACCCATAAATTCCGCAACAATCCACTCGTTTTTACTTGAATAACTTGTCACAATATATTACTAGTTTGGTAAAGTAACATTACTAATTCCCGTTGAAACGGAATTGACTTTACCAAACTAGTAATATATTGTGATAAGTCATCTATTCATCAATATGTTGTCTAATTACGATACTAAACTGACTCACTCAAATGTGCGTTATTCTCATTAGTTTAAAAATTACACGTTTCAGGTGAATGTCTTACTTGAACAGTTCAACAGTATATTGGTAATTAGAGGTCCACACATAAGTTCCGCATTAATCCACTCGTTTGTACTTGAATAACTTATCACAATATATTACTAGTTTGGTAAAGTGACATTACTAATTCCTGTTAATCCTGTTAAAAGGCAAATTGACAAAAATTGTATAATCTTACAAATTCTGACTTGATATAATAAGTTATTGTTCAAGTACAAATAAGTGGATTGTTGCGGAGCTTATGGGTGGACCTCTGCGGGACGAGCGCAGCGAGTTCCGCAGCCATCTACTCATCAATATACTGTTGAACTGGTCAAATAGGATACTCACCTGAAACGTGTACTTTTTAAACTAATGAGAATAACTCACATTTGAGTGTGTCAGGTTAGTATTTGACATGAACAGGAGAAACATTAGAACAATATATGGTATATCTCCTCTGTTTTGAAAGAGGCTGAAATTCCATACGACCCAAAGGAGAAGCCTACAAATCTTGGACACCAACTTAGAAGCACAGGTAGCAGTGCTAATTAGAAACGACCCCAGATGCATTCTACAATGCACAATCTAGAATGCTACAGTGGCGTACCCAGGCATTGGCTCTGGGGGGGGATAAAAATTAACAAAATTAAAAAATATAGGTTTGTACAGCAAATAGTGGCGTCTTTACGATTTACCTCTGGGGGGGGGGTCTAGCCCAGAACCACGGTCCATGTGTATTGCCAGAGAGTAATCCAGGAGGAGGCGAAAGCTCGCCGCAGGCGCCTCCCTGAAATTTTTTTCGGGTGCCACGCCCAAAAACAATTATTTTGAGCTTTCAAAAAAATAAACCGTAGAAATATCGAAAAACTTTAAATACTCATTCCATTCGATGAAACTTGCAAACTTGCCCGAATAGCGTTTTATTGGTTTTTGTATAAAAACCATTTTCGGAATCTTGAGAAAAACAAAAATGTTGCTGTTTTTCATTTATTGCAGGAGGCGACACCCCAGAACCCTTCATAACAAGCGATCATGATTTCTTTCCCACTATTTCAATACAAAATAACAAATACATAATAGCCTACATAATTTTTATTAGCCTTTTGATGTAGCGTTTGAGTTTGCGAACTTTGCGAGACCTTCTGGGGGGGGGGGATATATCCCCCTTATCCCCCCCCGTGGGTACGCCACTGGAATGCTAATTTTGTTTGGGTCTTCCCTTTGACTTTATTCTATTTATTAGGATTCGTTAGGAGCAACTGACCACTGACATTAATGGACAGGGACGGGATTCCAAAAAGCTTGCACTGAAGAAGTTGGAATAGTTTTTGTATAGTTGGAAGAGCCAATAGGGAACCCATATTTCGTAAAATTTAGACATTTAATTGGGATGAATACCCTACTAGCTTAGGATCTTAATATTGTTGAACGCCAAAGATGATCTTCTGATATGCTTATCAAAGCCACCCCAAAAAAACTTCATCAGTCAGAAAAAATACAATTCTTATTTTTCCAACTTATCTAGGCATGCGGTTTACCATCTAAATGATTCGAAGTTCAGGCTATTACAGTATGATTGTTTTGCACTCAAGGGCGGTTTACATTGAACTGCTGAAAGAGTGGAACCAAAGAATTCTTCGTTAGATTTTTGTGGTATGGCTTTAGCTTTTTTACTGCAGTTGATGGATCAAAACATAAACAGACTCCATACTTCATAGGTACCTTTATGAGAGAAAGACAGTTAATTTTTTTTTTACGCTTGTGAAAAACTATACTTTCTACGAAATATTCAAATTCACTAAAGAGATCAAATAAACTATATAGATTTATAGTGTAATTGTTTATTTTAGACTAAAGTATGGCTTTATGTGCATTTTCTATTTTTCCTTATAACAATAAAGCTATTTTTTGCCTTCGACTTAGAAAAATAATATAAATGAATACATAAAAATCTACTAAGGAAAACATTTGGCAACACTGTATAGGCAGTACAGTACACTCATATACCTAATAGGAAACCTATTTTTAAGGCAACGCATTTACTGAGTAATATCGCTTAGTTTACACCCGCCTGCATTTCTGTTGTCTTGATACATTTTCTGGGTTATGGTGGTACTTTAAATATCGAGTAGTACCAAAGTACTAACTTCGAAGTGCGCTTCCCATGTAACACTGAAGTGGTGCCTCAATTTTTGTAATACTGATGTGTGGGTACCTTATCTTCTATTTCAGTACGAACCTGCGCCATATGCATGGTTTTGATTACTAAAATTTATAAGGAGTGTATAAATTGTTGAAGGTTTATATTTCTGTTTGAATGAGAAGTGTGAGGAAATCATAAGAATTATAAACGACTATTGCATGGTATTGGTAGTTATGTATCTGTTTACTGAATGGAAGAAATGAATTATGTATTTTTTTGTTTCAAGCATTTTGAGAGAGAGTTTAACGTAAATTTTGGTTTAAACATAAAGATTGATGGAAGTTTTTCGGTAGTACCTAACCTGTTCTTATTGTGTTCAAACTTTAGGAATTATGATTTTTCAAAACGTGTTTTGAGACCCGAATGAAGGATCCTTTGACATTCCAAATTGTTAGAGAAAAATCAATGTTTGTCGAACACGATAGTTAGTACCTAACACTGCCACTTAAGTGGCGTACAGCAATTCGAGCAAATACTCCAAATGGGAAACAGTAGGTATTTTCTCAGTTTCTAAGGAAAATGTGCAAACTTTTGATTTTTGTGTCTTGTAGAAAAAAGTCCAAACTTCAAATCATCCTCAAATCTTTTCAATGTATATTGATTATCTTCTCTTTTGCAATTAAAATGACTGACATCTTCCTCTGTAACAAATCAAACATTCAGATTCGAATGGTGTCGTAGAAAGATCGGGACCATTTCGCTAATTCGAATTAAAATCCGTTTCGCATCAATCAAGTCATTCATACAGTTCGTTAGGCACGCTAATAGAAAAAAATATGCTCGCGTGTGTGCGCGTTTCATATCGTAGAAAAATAGGTTAGCCCATTGCCGTTATACACAAAAGGACGCCTGTTTCTATACTTATTTTATATGTGCCCAGATTCAAATTTACAAAAGGCTGCACCCTGTTTACTGGCTGCCGCGCCCGGTATTGGATTTATTATTTATTTTAGACCTTGGCTTGTTTTAGCAAATTAGAGCAGCACTCTAGATATATAGTTAGCCTTAATGAAATTAAATTTTAATTGGGTTTTGCAATCGTTGAAAATTGAATATCTATAAGAAAATCATCACTCTACGACTATGTGCTCTTTTTGTTTACTATAGAATTTGCTTTAACGACTGAATCTGTTATAGGATGGACCTTGTTGAAAAAATCATCCCTATAAATGGGACATTAAAAATATTGCATAGCCTACTAAATAAGAAAGAGGTTGAATAACGTATATAGTCCGTCGATTTTAATCTGGATACTTTAAAGGAATAAGGAATGTGAGCTGGTGGCTCCCTACGTTAGAAAGCTAATGGTCACCGGTCACCTGACATCCCACCTGTTTCACCCTCTCGCTCCTCATACGGAAAGTATCAGATTAAAAACGACGGACAATACTTAAGTAGGTATACTGATAAAATTTTGTATGTTTGCGATTGTCAAAAGTTCATTTCATATTCGAATTCCAAACTAAATTGAAAACGATTAAAATGAAAGTTAATTAACGGCCCGAATCATTAGTTGAACGCACCTAAAACTAATATCAATTAACTCCTAACAATTATTGTTTATTATATTTAACCAAATTATCTGTTTTTACGGTAGGTAGTCTGGCATCAAAATGATGTGCCAGCGCCGGTATTTTTAGTAGGTGGAATCCTGAATTGTTTACTATTGAATTTTAACACGGTAACCGTACGAAATTAAAACACTTCATGATTGTGTGGCTAATGAGATACCTACATATTTCATGGAGTTTTGTTTAAAGAAAGTATAAAAAATGTATAATAAATTTGAATTAGAAACTTTTCACTATCGGCTGTGTAATAATAATTCGCATTATCGGAACTACATATATACTGCCAATTTTCATATCGCTTCATTACATAAACATCATAATAGGTAGGTATTCGACTTCCTATAAACAAAATATGGATAAAATTGCAGAATTTCCTGTTGATAATCGGTCGGCCAGACCAAAAAGGAAATCCCCTTTTTAATTGGGTTCTATTTAGCTAATAATGGTAGAAATTTGTTTGTGTTTTGCTAGCAGCAAGAGGATAAATATTAGGTATACCCAGAGAATATAAATATTTGATAATCTTTTAAACCTTATGTAAAGGTTTTTTTGAATTTACCGCAAGTGTAAATATTTAGCCTTCAAGCACAATTGAATTTTTGCTTCAATTATCATGGTAATAGGAGTATCTAAAAGTTTTCCTTGCAGCCGAAATTCTACTTCCACATGGCGCGTTTAGATAATCAGCCTGCTTTGGTTGACCAAATTGAAAGTTAAAACTTCCTCCACTACTCGAAGTACCAATCAACCAATCTCTGGCAGTTTGACTTATTGGAAGTTGTGAATTGATATACAGATAATTTATTTCATTTGATCTCATTGTAGGTATGTTTTGACATAATAAAAAAAGTGTAAACCCTATATATTGAAACTATTCAAGGCTTGAAGGCACATTTCTCATTTCTTTCTAGATATTTTTTGTGATCCTAACAGGTTAATTTTTGTTTAATCTTTCCAATGTTACGTTAATATTTTGCTATGATACTCCCACTTACACATCAGAAATATTCCAAACGATATTTTCAAAATCCTCTCCATCGTCTCCAAATTTAAACTTTGTATTTTTAAAAAGATGTGACACGAAACTTTTGTGTTATTTTTTTTTTTTTTTTAGATTTTAATCCAATCCTAAATTTATTTCTCGGTTTAGTCCATCACAAAGAATGTAATCGTAAATTAGAGAGGCAGAGACCACAAGTTTTCTAAATTTAATAGAGTTCCCGAGCCGTTTTGAGTCCACGACGCGACTAGTGAAGATATAGACGTCGGGATGAGCTCGACGCAACAATTTACGCGAAACTATTTTCAAGATAATATGTTTTTTTTTTTTAATTTTTACTTTTGCGCTTGCGTAAGTACAAATTTTTATCTAGAAAAATAAATGGGAAAATGGTTGAGGATGATTGAACACCCTTACGCCAAACAAAACTTATAAAATAAGAGAACAAATTGGCACAGAAAAGTGTCCAAATCTTTTTTTAAAGGATTTCGTTTAATTTTTGAGACATCTAAATACAAAGTCGTTTTTTGTTTATGTCAGATTAGTGTAGATTGTCCTTTTCATGTTCAATTTAGTCTCAGTTTTGAGCTGAAATAAGTTGATTCTGGCAGATACATAAAACTTTATATTTCAACTTTTTTATCAGCCAAAAAAAAATTTTAATGCATTAAAATTTCTCCTTAAAGTCAAAACTCTTCTTCCAATATGTTTTTTCTTCTTTCCTTCTTGGTCAGTATCCTTATAATTTTATCCTTATAGTCTATGATAGACGAAAGAATCTTTGGCAAAGGTAAAATTATTTTTGGAGTAACTTCGTAGTACAAAGGCCAAGGAGAAAAATAGATAATAATTCATCTGGAAGTGGACTTTTGGATGGCTTTTTATCTTTCAATTTAATTCTGAATATCATGAAAACTTTCAGTAGACAGTGGATTTTTCCTTAGTTTTTTCCCATGCCCTAAGTTTCTTAATTTTTTGCTGTTTTCGGTACTTATTCTTAACTCTTTCTATAACAGTTGAAGCAACTGACCTCTGCCTAAACACGTCTTCAGGTCTAATATTTCATAATTAAATGATCAAGTTAGAATATGTGCTGACTCCACTGAACTCAATAAATTTGTTTTTCTACAAACGTCACTAAAAGTGTCATTTTTAACGGATGCTGTCAGTGTCTAAAAGTAATCACTTTTAGTGCGTTTGTAGAAAAAATAGTGTATGATATTCATGCTAAAAGTGATTTTATTTTGTTCAAAGGGATGGAACACTCCGCCTTTGGCGTCGTGTCCCAAACTTCCCTTTTCACAAAATAAAATGTCACTTTTAGCACTTATATCATAAATAACTATTTAAGAGAAAAACTTATTTTACCAACGGTGTATTCTACACTGGCACAAATAAGAAATACAAAAGTATTTTCAAAATAACATTGTGTATCAAGTTTTTGGCAAGTTCCATTATGAGACCGTTCGAAGCACTACATTGCCTCTTTAACACCTTTTGGAAGGTACATTTACAAGAGATTCCCTTTTGGGATTACTACAGCTCCAGAAATTTTTCAGAGTACAATGAATAGACTTTTCAATGACCATGAAGAGGTATTAGTACACATTGATGACATTACAGTTTTTCGAAAAAATGTTGCACAGCATGATAAAAGGTTAAAAACAGTGCTTGAAGTCTTACGAGACAATGGGCTTACCTTAAACGAGTTAAAATGTCAGATAGGCATTTCGGAAGTGAAATTACTTGGACACATTATCCGACAATCGGGTATAAAAATGGACAGTGACAATATCAAGGCTATATTAGACTTTTAGAAGAACCCAAAACAGTGACAAATGTGAGGCAGTTTCTTGGTATGATTAATAAATTAAAAATACTTGTCACAAGTGCACCAGTTTTAAAGGCTTATGATGTTACTAAAAGAAACAAGAATTCTCGCAGACTCGAGTTCTTTCGGAATTGGTGGCTGTTTAGAACAATACAACCAGATGGGAGATGGGCTCCTGTTATTTATTATTCAAAAAGTTTAAGTGAAGCACAACCAAATTAAAAAGGAAGCATATGCTATTGTATGGGTATGTGAAAGACTGGAAGAGTACCTGATAGGTAAATTGTTTACTATACAAACTGATCATTTACCACTTTTGAGTATCCTAAAAAAAAATCTATAAATGCTTTGACTGAAAGATTGCAACGATTTAGACTAAGATTAACTAGATTTACATTTGACATTCAAACTGACGCTGGAAAAAAATCCTATGTACCATGTTATCAAGACAGCCACTGAAACAGATAGATAATGGAAAAGATGTATTGAAAGAAGAAGTTGAATGCTATTCAAATTTTATAAGGAAAGAAACTGAAGATAACTTGATTGCAAATCTAGAGCAAAAAGTCTACCTTGTCATACAGAATGTGTACTCAATCCATATCCAGAAGTTATTATACTAAAGAAAACTAAAAGTGAAGACATTATTGAAAACAGTTTCAGGAAATTTGCAAAAACTTACAACTTCAACCACATGAAAAGTAGCCCCAGGTTTCCACAAAGTAATGGTTCAGCAGAGAGAGCTGTACAGTTAGTGAAGAAACTGTTAAAAAAGTGTGAAGATCCTTATTTGGGAATTTAAAGTGTTTTGAACTTTCCAAAAGGCTTATTAAAATGCTAAAGTGTTCTGAAGCATTTTTGAATAACATTCAGTAACTTCTAAATTGAATGAGAAACGAATTACCTATGTTTGAGTTTTTGTTGACATCTCAAAAACGTCCCTAAGATGTCCACAAACGACATTCAAGACGTTTTTTAAACGGCTGCCTAAAAACGTCTCTATGACCTTTTTCCAAGACACTCTCTAGATGTCTTTTACGAGATGTCTCAGTCTTGAAGACGTCTTTGAAACTATTTTTAATACATAAGCCCATTATTTATTTTTAGGCCCGATTGTACCAAATAGTGTGTGGCTTAGTTGTCTTTAAGATGTGAACTTACGACATCTTATAGACGTTTTCTAGACGTCTTCCAGACGTTAAGATTCGTCTTCAAGACTTTGTGTTTTGTCTGTGCTTTAGGCCTCTACTCGTTTTCAATTTTTTTACCGCACAAAAAAATGAACCAAAACTACACCTTATTGAGTGGCGAGAAGACAGCAGAAAACTAGATTAGTGCAAAAGCAGAATACCTACAATGAGGAACTGAATTATTCAGTCTATAATGACTGGTAATTTGAAATTTTTGAAGAAATGGAGAACTACGGCGCAAGTGCGAAAAGTTTTGTGAAAATTTGATGGCATGTAATTTTGTGCTTGTGAATGTGATCTTATGGACGTTTTCTAGACGTCTTCCAGACGTTCAGACGCAATGCAGTCCTGAAAAAAAACGTCTTCAAGACTTTGCATTTTGTCTGTGCTTCAGGCCTCTACTCGTTTTGAATTTTTTCACCGCACAAAAAAATGAAGCGAAACTACACCTTATTGAGTGGCGAGAAGACAGAAAACTAGATTAGTGCAAAAGCAGAATACCTACCATGAGGAACTGAGTTATTCAGTCTATAATGACTGGTAATTTGAAATTTTTGAAGAAATGGAGAACTACGGCGCAAGTGCGAAAAGTTTTGTGAAAATTTGATGGCATGTAATTTTGTTCTTGTGTGTAAAGTTCCTTTTTGGATCAATGGAGAAGGAACATGAGGATGACTGATACAAAGTAATGTAATGTTTTAATGATCAAACCCTTTTATGGCATATTATTCATTTCTAGTTCTTATACTATAAGAAGTTATTGAAAAATAAAAGGTAGTTTTTCGAAGTCCTTAGATGAAAATTCCTCCTGAGAATTTGTTTTAAGGTACCCCCATGAAATTCAGTTATTCAGCTTGATGATTGTACTTTTTTATCAAGACATTGGGCGCTTTATTTTATTCAGCGGTGAATCCATCCATCAGTAATCAGCCTTTCTTTGTCTAGCTCATAGAAACTAGGAATGTCTGTCTTATAATGCTGGCAGCAAATGGATCCATTACTGAATAAAAGAACGCGCCCATTATATTATAGTGTTTGCTAATGTTCGTCTCATACATTTCATTCCTTTATTCTTGCTTTCAATAAAATACTGTGAAAATATCTTCCGATTTGAGTCTAGGGTCATCTTTTTGTTTATTGTTTCATTGATTTCCACAGACTCAAAAGTTTTGTATTTTTCCGTATACCTACCTTCTCTATGATCTTTTATATATTTTTCGAGACAATTATCTTTCTTTTGCTATTTCTAATCCAGCATTTTACAAGAAAAGCATAATTTAACCGATATATTTCTGACACATTGGCGGCTGTAATTCTAATGAAAGCAATGAAATACAATGGCAGAATAGGTGAAGAGTATATTATAGAAATTGAAAATTTAACTCACATCCACAGGCAAATAACCTGAATGATATGAATTGGACCATATGACAAATATCATCCAATGCTTAAACATTAATTACACAATACTTAAATACTATTTAGGAGAGCTAACTTGAACAAACACAATTTTTGAGAGCAGAAGAAATTTAAATTAGAAAATTTGTTAACAAGAACAGAAGAACTTGGAATAAAAGAAAGTGCTTCATAATGGCTGACTATTGAAGGATTCCTGAATCCTGGTCAACATGTTCCAATCTGCTGAAATAATGTCTTTGGCGACGAAACATCTTAAAGTGGCTTAACATCGTTAGTGGGACTGGTATGATGACAGCAGCAAAAACTGTGAACTTAGTATTGCCGCAAGATGTGAATAAATTCATAAAAACTGGTAACCCACTGAATCTGTTACTTTCAAATATGAACTCCATGCATAGGGAAAAATATTGAAAATAAAAAAACACATTCTCACCAAAGCACAACTTTTTTGAACCCCTCCAGAGGATGAAGGATAAAATATCGCACAGTTTAAGGAGAGTAGAATAATTTTGTTTAAATTCCACATGCCCATGGACCATCGAGCCAAAACATATGCAAATATCGAAAATATGATGTTACTTTGATGTTTATTCTTTATACAGGAACTCAAAATAGTAAATACATATATAGTACAGTTTTTGAGGAAAATATGAAAAATGATAGAAAATGGAAGGACATTTTCATAGAATACTGTTAGAATGTTTTCAAAACATGACTCTATTTGGGTTCAGGGCAGGCGACTGCTTAACAATTATTTATTCACATCCAATTACGAAAACTTCATTGCGTAAACCAACGCGTCATTAGAATGATTTTATTAATATTTTAAATTAATTTTCATTGTTTCAGAAAATCGTAAAACAATCTTGATGTCAATTAAATTTACAATATATAACTTATTTTGCTTCCAAATAATAATACCTATTAAAAAACAAAACAATGTTAGGTGTAAAATTGATAATTTGTTTGCTTTGTGTGGAGGTTTTTGCTTTAAACGAAGGAGAAGTCAGATTTGGTGAGTTTATAGTAATTATTTTTGTATCATCTTTTTCATACCATGTAGTGCTTTTAGAATAATTATGTGGTTATTTTGGGTTAGTAGGTATTAGAATTGTTGTGCTATAATAACCCTTGATAGTGGTGTTCCGTAGTAGGTATACTTAGATGAGTCTTCCATTTTTTTTTTTTTTTATTTAAGTGACGTGTGGTGAGAGTGCTCACCCACAAAAAATAATTTGAAATTAATAAGTATTTTGGTGCTCAGCTTCGGGTTGATTGGTAATAATTGCTGTTGGTTGCGATAGAGGATCCACCAAAAGCAAATGAATCTCCAACAACTAAAACTGAACCTCTGCAGCTTCTACAACTACAACTGTCCGGCTACAACTGGTAAGAAGCAAAATTGGAAATTGACTTCATGGTGATAAGACAGAAACCAAATTGGCAAGCAATACTATTAAGAGTGTTACATCAAACGGCCAAAAAAATTGTAAGCATGTACCGTAAAATTAAAAAGTTTATAAATTTAGAGCTTTATTAATTGATTTTTGAGGGGGCATAGTCGTAGAGCTTGGAAAATATATTGAATATTGTGGTAAAATAGGTACTTGCACTAGTAAGAATTCCGCTTTGGTTGGCATTGCAAAATTCATCTGCATGAGGTGTCAGTATTTTGTGTCCTATTTTTGAACCAAATTTATAATTTTTTTTTTTAGCTAAATCTACGAGGAGGTGCATTGAATCAGAATCAATCATATCAAAATTGATAAGATTTTTTTTCCAAATTAAAATTAAAATTTTAAAATACTTTTTCAATTCGCTCCCAAAGCAAATTTACCCACCGGAAATTCTGGTGATGGAATATTGGAAACCACAATCTTGTCTTTCTAAAAAACAGCCAAGTAAACCTACTTACTTTACTCAAATTAAACCTACTACCTTTGATCAAAGTAAACCTACTTCCTGTGCTCGAAGTGAGGCTGCAGCTACCTGTGCTATTACTAAACAATCACCAACGCCAATCGAACATACGCTTTCAACAAACATAACTGAAAATTTGGATACTACTACTGCTACCACAAAGCAAATTGAGACAACACTGATGCCAACAACCACTATGCCAACAACTACGAATCGTCCAAAGGATTTGTGAGTATCTACTATAAGAAAAATTATACAGGACCTACTTTATTAATTTTTTCTTTTTTTTGCAGGAGAATACCCAGACCGGACCGGCTGAATCATGGAGGATAGATAAAAGCTATTAATTATTATTGAATAAATTATTTTTTATTTTTGCTGATTTTTAATTTGAAATAATATTAACCTACTCCAAGGACCGGAAGGATATGCAAATCATAACTGTCGCAACCCGATTTCCAGATTGTGGCCTGGTTTATCTCATTCCACACTCTTAGCTTGTGCAGGTTCTATGAAAATTGAACGCATAGCGCAATATGTAAAACACATCAATGCAATTCTGGATCTTGTGTTTGTTATCTAGCAACACAAGGTCCGTTTCCATACTGGAATAGAAAATTGCTTAGAAATCTTTGTGATCTCACGATTTAAAAACCTTCAGTTACATTACAGCAGCTTGTGAAAATTATTTGTATTCAACAGTATATCATTGTTACTAGTTGTTTAATTTTGTCATTTGATATGTTATTGTCATCAATGGACTCATTGGTAAAAGACATTCGAAAATTTACTTGTTGCCAACAAGCCTAAAATTGAAGATCTCAGAGATGAAATTAAGCTACAACTTCTGGTAAATTATATAGCTCCCAATGTGTATGCATTAGTGAGTGAATGTTCAACATATGCTTCCGCTATAGCCATACTCGAGAAAGCTTACATCAAACCTAAAAATCATAAGAATGGCTACATCAGGGATGCTTTTATAAAAGGCCTAAAAAACTCTTCTATACGCACTCGATTGCTTGAAAATACAACCCTTAGTCTCAATGAGGCTCATAATCAAGCTCAATCTTTAGAAATGGCTGAAATTCACTCACAAAACTTCGTACAAAATTTTATCAATGCAACTTCATTTGATTATACTTCAAATTCTAAGTCAGATCATTCGAATCAAATCTTAGCTACTTCTACCAAGAATCTAGCGAAATATTGGTTTTGTGGAGGATCACGTCATTCTAGATATCTTTTTCCAGCTTCAGATGCTACTTGCCAAAAATGTTCCAAGAAAGGACATTTCGCCAGAATTTGTAACAGTAAAAAGCATGATTCTAGGACAACGTCAGCTTCCATCGTTACTGCAATTATCGAGACTGCAGCTTCGCCACTTGGAGAAGCTACAATTGATGCAAAAATTTGTGGACAACCAGTTAAAGCTCTTATTGACACAGGAAGAACATCAAGTTTCATAAACGCTTCTCTTCTTGAGCAACTTAAGATTCCAGAAATTCCTGCTCAGCAACGAGTGAATATGACGTCAATATCAGTGGTCTCTCAAGTTGAAGGAAGTTGTAATACTGTGTCACTAGAAACAAATACCCGTACATATGAAAACTTGACATTACTGATTATGAAAAATTTTTGCTCAGATATTATATTGGGACACGATTTTCTACATCATCATTCTAAACTTGAGATGTCATTCAACGGAAATCTGGATACTTTGAAAATATGCGTTTTGATGCAAGCAGATAGGTATTACTCCTGCATCTCTATTCATGAATCTCAATAACACTTGCAGACCTATAGCTATTAAATCTAAGAAACAATCACTAGAAAACCTGAAATTTATCGAACAAGAAGTCCGGATAATGCTTTCTGAAGGTATCATTGAAAAGAGTAATTCGCCTTGGAGAGCTCAAGCTTTAGTCACTTCCAGTACAAATCATAAGAGATGAATGGTAATCAACTATGCCCAGACTAAATTCACTGAACTAGACACATATCCACTTCCAAACATAGAAGACATTATTTCAGAAGTGTCAATGTACCAAGTTTTCAGCACTATAGATCTAAAGAGTGCATATCACCAAATTGCAATTATCGAACATCGAACCTTATACAGCGTTTGAGGCGTGCGGCGAACTGTATAAATTTACGAGAATTCCTTTTGGTGTTACCAATGGAGTTGCTAGTTTTCAAAGAGTTTTTGTCAGTATAATCAAGAAAGAAAATCTTCAAGGCACGTATGCCTATCTTGATGATATCACAGTAGGTGGTAAGACTCAAGAAGAGCATGACAAAAATCTTCAAAAATTCTTTAAAGTTGCTGAAAAGTATAAACTTACTATAAACTCTACTAAATCAAAGAACGGACTTCAAAACCTGATCCTGATCGACTTCGTCCATTCTTAGAATTGCCTCCACCAGGAGATTATTCTTCATTAAAACGAGTATTGGGAATGTTTTCCCATTATTCATTATGCGAAATGAATTCCAAGATTTTCGGATAAAATTAGACCACTCGTACAAACACAATAATTTCCTATGTCACAAGAAGCTCTATCGACTTTTAAAGCTCTGAAAGAAGATATTTCAAAAGTTGTTGTCACTGCCATTGATGAAAATCTCACATTCACAGTAGAAACAAACGCATCAGACTATGCCGAATGCAAAGTGCCCTAAACATCGTTAAAAATTGGAGCGAAGGCGAAGGACTATCCCTAAAAGAAGAAGGAAGCTAAATTTGAAAGCCCCGACCCTTAACGGTACACAACTAACATTTTCCAACGAAGTGAAGTACCTACTTAGGGGTCACCCTGGACCAAACCCTCACTTGGAACAAACAGTTAGAGAAAACATGCTCTCGAGCTACATCAGCCATTTGGTCATGCCGAAGACTTGTTGGCAAAACATGGGGGCTAAAGCCAAAGATGGTATTCTGGATCTACCAAACCATAATAAAGCCTATGGTCACATATGCCTCATTGGTGTGGTGGCCCAAAACCCAACAAGTCATCGCTCAGATTAAGCTAAGAAAGGTGCAAAGGCTAATATGTCTAGGAATCACGGGAGCAATGTCAACTTGCCCCACCGCAGCCCTAGAGACGCTACTCAACATGCCCCCACTTCACCTATGTGTGAAAAAGGAGGCAATAACCAGCGCTCACAGGCTATTCCAAATAGACAAGTTCAAGCCTGGCGATCTGAGGGGACATCTGAAAATCGTTGATCTAATAACACTGGAGAATGCCAGCAAACCAAGTGACCACATGATGGTCAGATTGGACTTAGAGATCCCCTTCGCAGTGGTAATAAACGACCGCCAATCATGGGAGAATAAAGAACTACCACAAGCAGACAATGCATCTCTGTGGTACACAGATGGATCCAAGCTAATGATAGGAGCTGGACTGGGCATTTCCGGCCCTAACTTTAAGCTCTCCAAGGCATTGGGTAAACATCTTACAATATTTCAAGCCGAACTGCTTGCCATAGATATATGTGCACAAGAGTGTCTTAACCAAAGCCTCAAAAGAAAACACATCTTCATACTATCGGACAGCCAAGCTGCCTTAAAAGCCTTGAGGGCTTTCAAATGCACGTCAAAACTAGTCTGGGAGTGTAAACAGACCCTAAAAACACTAGCGACACATAACCAGGTAACGCTGATGTGGCTGCCTGGTCATCGAGGCATAGAAGGAAACGAAGAGGCAGATGGCCTCGCAAAGGAAGGGGCCTCAACACCACACCATGGACCAGAGCCCTACTGTGGCTTAATGAAAAGCCACATCATGGAAGAACTCAACAAATGGGAGAAAGACCAACTGTCATCATATTGGAGGCACACACCGGGACTCAGACAGTCAAAAAGGTTTATTACCCTTTCAGCAAGAAGAGCTGAACAGCTCCTAAGCATGAGCAGACCAGACATCAGATTGGTGGTGGGACTGCTCACAGGACACTGCCCAGTAAAATACCATTTAAGGTTAATGGACAGAGCAGAAGACGATCTCTGCAGATTCTGCTCAGACGCAATAGAAACCGCAGAGCACCTGCTCTGCGAATGTCCAGCCCAATTCTGCAAGAGGCTCAAATTCCTCGAGGGGGCAACACTGTCACCAGAAGAAGTGGGCCAACTGACACCCAGGAAAATAGCTTCCTTCGGCAGAAGTCTACGCTTCCTGGAGACAAATTAAGATGTAGAGTCACGCACAAAATATCTGCAAAGGTAGCAGTGCTGAGCGGCTGAAAAGCCGAAACGACTCCCCCGAAATCTACAATCTACAATGCCATTGGAAGTTGCTTATCACAAAATGGAGCTCCTATAGCATTTTTCTCAAGGACACTGTCGGAAAGCGAAAAACGTCATTCGTCAGGCGATAAGCAAGCCTATGCTATAGTTGCATCGCTTGGGAAATGGAGACATTATTTAATCGGACGACTTTTTCGACGAATCAACGCTCTGTTTCTTTTTTGTTTGATGATAAGCATGCAGGAAAAATAAGAAATGATAAAATATAACGATGGCGGTTAGAATTGGCATTGTATGTAGACCAGGAAGAGAAAACATAATGGCTAACTTTATCAAGGGTTTGTGCCGGCATTGTTTTTACATCCTACAACGGCACAATAAGAGGGTATTTAGACCCACATATACTATCCTAGGAACTGAATTATATTTCAATTAAGAACAATTTTTCAAAGGATTAGCAGGGCTAGACGGCGAAATTTCAAAAATACACAAATCTTAAGGTTATGTTACCTCACCTCCAATGTGGTCACGAGCTGCAAGGAAACCCATAGACTCTGCTCAGCGTATTTGTTACTGCAAATCAAAATCTTATTATCCATTCTTCCGGTCCTTCATCTTAATCTATGAAGGTTTAAAATAGTTTTGTTAAAAGTTTACTTTATCAATTCTCCATAAAATATTAGGTTAAAATTTTACTGATTATTCCACTCATGTGTTAGAAATCTCATAAGGCAAGTGACGATTTTCAGAATAACAGCGAAAATTCTCTCTTCCATTTGAGAATTACAGCGATAATTCTCCCATGTTATTGTATATATGGTTGTCATGCTAATTTTTGATAAAAACAAACGGTTCCTGATAGCAACCATTTATTTGTATTGATTGTTAAGATGTTCAAATCGTTTAATACATATTTATTTTCATATTTTTTTGCATTCTCATACGTGAAATAATCCTCTAAATACCACTTGAGCTTTAAAATGAACCAGATAATTTTTCACTCATGCGTGTTTTCTCTGCAAATTATAGAAAACACGCAATCGTGAAAAATTATCGGTAATTTTGAAGCTCTCGTGGTATTATCCCCGATAAGACTAAAGCTCTTCATTTCCATTCACGCTATACGATTACACTTTTTTCCCTGTAAGGTTTTCGAGTTTTTTAGTTAATTAAAGTATTTCCAGTTGATGTTGATGGTTTCTGTATGACCTTGTGCCCTACGGGATAGTGCAGATGGAAAATGTGTAGGTGACAACAAACTGGCTCATTTATCAGGTCTTTAGCAAGAGACGTGACTATGATCTTACTTGGTCGATTATTCCCTATCGATTTGGTGCCGACAATGTCCCAAATATTTCTCACTGGATTTAGTACAGGTTCTAGGGGCAAATACATTGTTGAACTACTATTTCAACACAGTGCGAATAATACAGAGGGATACTTGTCCGAAACAAAGTCAGCTTAAACATCCTAGTTGCGATGGACTATTTCTGTAAATGTCACGATCTCTTCAAGGTCGTGAATAAAACCTAGAAAGATTTGGATAACCATATAAACTTCTGAAATGGCATAGGTACATAAATTATGGTCCAACTAAAACTACTCCAAAAAAAAAAATGCGGTTCAGAAAATGATGAGGGTATGGAAGTTAGAGTCAATGTTGACCTGCTTGGAAAAACGTTTAAAGACTTTCTGGATTATTTTAGAAAAAAAAATATGGACACATTCAATTAGCAAATGAAGTCGTAATATGACTCGAATATCAATTTTTCTATGGCCATCAACAAAGTGTAGTTTTATATTCCCCAAATAAGGAATGATGTATACATGACCAAAGTTGATGCCATGTCATGTCACCTTATGTGAATCTAAGAGGAATCAACGTTGTTCAGACTTAAAAACAACCATAAAGAAAATCGAAACACTATTGATGGTTCTTATCTTTTCAACTAGCCAATTATGTTAAATTATTTTGGCAAATACAAACACCGAAAACTTTTTCAGGCAGGTTTCGTAAGATCCTATAAAAAGTTTAGATGGGTTACATTAATAATTATTTCGTAATATTGTGACCAGAAATTTTGTTATCAAATTATTTCTCAACTGTAATAATAATATATTTTAATTAGATGTAATTTAATCAATAATTTTTATTTGCAAAATCATAAATAATTAATTATTAATTGTTATAAAAAGATTAAAAAAATCAATAATTTTTACTATAGTAATTATTTTTTTCGTATATATACCTTGGAAAAATAAGAAAATATTATAAAAGTAGTTTGACAAAAATATCAATACCTACTCACTTAGTAAAGATGTATGTCCTAAAAATCTTTCTTCTTGTAACTGTGCTAGCATACGCTCAAACAGCTGTACTGGATCCAGTACAAACATTAGACGGTAAGTAGGTAGTACTAAATTTTTTCCATTGATTTTTCAATATTTTTTTTTTTTTTGCTCTTGATTCTGGCTTTTTAATAATGTACATTCCAGAATCTTGTTTGTTTTCGTATTAACGATATTTCTTAAACCCTAATTCTACATTGGAGAGATTTCCAATTAACATTTTTTCTTTAATATTTATTTTAGGTTTGGAACTTACTGATCCGTTCAAAGCTTTATCGAGAAACAGAAGACAAGATGCTGATATCTTACCTATGGCAACCGAACAACAACCACAAGCAAGATTTTTGGGAGGGCTGTTGCAAAAAGTTCCAGGGTTCTTAATTGGCATTATTAGCAAAGTGTTTAAGATGATAGTGGGCCTTATAACAGGCAATAGAGGAAGAAGTGACTACAGGGCCTATTAACTTTGAATTCTGTTTATTTCATGTGTTTATTACAATAGCATAACACTATAAGGCAATGAATAAAAAATAAATATGCATTTTAAATATCACCTGTCTGCTGTCTGTTATTACCTAGTTAAGCAAATTTCATTCTTAATAGTCTTAATATTCCTTTTTTTATCTGATAAAACCCACTATTAGCGTCCAATTTAGAAAAGAAACGCGATCCTGTGAGTTTAGCCAACGTTGTTTCAATCTTGTTCATTGAAAAGTGTGATCTCAAAACACTTTTGTTCAATTTTGGTATAATCGCAACACAAACGAACTCCCTCCCCTTTGGGAACTACCTACTACGATCGGAGAGACCCATGTAGTAGGTTCTTCAATAGATACGATTATACCCAAAGACTCAAGACGTTTAAGTACTTTTTCCAATTTCGGAAAAAGTGGTAATGGTACCACTCTAGGAGCTGCCTGAACAAACGATATGACCTCACCTTTAATTTTAATCTCAATTTTGTCCTTGAATTCTCCCAAGCTGTCAAACCAGGGGCGTCGCGTCGGGGAGGTAATGGGGGTAATTACCCTCCCCGACGCTTTATTTTCTTCATAAAGGAAATAATTGTTCTGGAAAAGTGAATGACCTTGAAATTTGAAAAAAAATTTGGCCTGCGGCGCGTTAGCGGGGGGTCGCATCTTCTCATTACCCCCCCCCAAACTACAAGTCACGCGTCGCCACTGTGTCAAACAAGTTAGGAAACTAATTTATATCTACTTTACATTTGAAATCTGACAACACCACTTGTTGGCTCACTTGACCAGTGAATTTCAAGGTATTCAAATCAATTATTGCTTGTCTACCTAAAATTGGCATCTGCAATTTTTTTTCAAATATAAATCAGTACCTCAATTTGTTTTCCTCGATATGAGATAAATAATTTTAAAACCTGAAACATGTAAAGGTAGACCATCCCATCCGGGACCGATATGACATCATCCGACATTTTCAACTTTTTCAGAAGACTCCCTGAAAGAAGTTTTTCTGGTATGCGCATCGGCTCCAGTGTCTACTAGAAATTTTATTTTATGTTTGAAACATTCTACTTTTAGTTTACAAAACCAGGTCTGAATTTTGATTAGACCCAAAATCCAACCATTAAACCTAAAAACCCTTCCTGACTGTTGTCGTCTTCTTCTGAACTCGACTCCTCTGACTCTTTCTCAACTGACCTGACACTTTTATTTTTACATGCTTTGGACCAATACCTGATCTTTTTGCATCGTGAGCAAGTTGTCCTCCGTGCAGGACACTTTTCCCTTGAGTGTGCCACAAAAATAACATTATGTCTCTTCCCTATTCTGTGACCGTCCTGTCCTCTGCTTGCCGTTAGGGTTTTTCTGCTCTTTTCTTTTACCATGGCATACACGTCTTTTCCTGGGCATTTGCTATTTCTTAAAATATTGCTCTGTTTTAAAATTTCCGATTGTTTTGCCTCTAGAATCGCATCCTCTTATTTTAAATCAGATTTAAGCTGCAATTTAGCACTTAAATTTTGGTCCAAAATATCATTGACAATCCGATCTCTTATAAAATCGTTTTTCTTAGCCGAAGAGCTACAATTTGAGCAAACAAATTCACAATGCTCCGACAACACATGCAAATCTGTTATAAAACTCACCTGGCCGTTGTTTCCTCCTATTGAAACGTATACCCTTTCAAAAACTACATTTTTCTTAGGGAAAAAGCCAGTGTGGCTGAAAAAGTGTTTGGTGTAGGATCTGGAAATTGTAGTAATATGTTCTCACTCTCTGAATATCGATTTTCTTTACATCAGACCTATTACTTAACCCCGATACTGCTAAGTACCTCTCGAAACTTCTTTTCCAGGTATTCCAACCTCCCGGATCTCGAAAATTGAATTTATCTAGGGGTTGTTGTTAGGACCTCTAACTGAGGTGTCAACATTTAATTTAGGGATAGATCACTGGATCATAAAGGGGATGGGGATGTCACTGCTAAATAATGCACTCACACTTCCAGTTTTATATCTCTCTATTGTTGCCAAAATAATCGTTTAATAAAGTAATAAATACTGTAACCACATTCAAGTACTTTTAATTATTCACAGGTTAGTTAACAAGTCGCATTTGAGTTATTCGAGAACATTCACTAATCGGTATAAATTCACTAGTTGTAAGTGCTCAGTAGTCAATTTAACAATAATTGTCAGTATTAGCGGAACGCTAATATTTTAGTTGAGAGCACAAGATAAAGTTTATTCTTAATAGAAATTTTCGGGAGTTGAGAGTTTTTATATTTTTAGAGAGCCCTTTAAAAAGGGGAGTGTGATTAACTCAATGTTTTACGCGATATTATATCACTTGAGTTTTCAAGCCAGCAGCTAGAGAGATAAAAAAATAAGTATTTTTATTTAGAGAGCGAGAGAGAGAGACTGCACAAGGGTGCAACTAGAGAGAATAATTAAATAATTAGAGAAAAGTGAGCAGGTTCAAACTTGTATAGAGCTAGACGTTTTTACGCACTATTTACTGCTAGTGAAACCACACTACTAAAATCACACTGCTAAAAACCACACTGCGAAGTGAAAAAGATAAGGAATGCATTTTTTCCCTTAGCGACAACAACCAGACTGGATTGATACAGTACAGCCTGGTACGGCGCCAGCGGCAAAGTTTTCACGGCGGGGGGCTTTTTTGCAACGTTGCCACTGTGATCATAAAAAATAAATACGATTGTTTGGCTGTTTCCACAACAGTTGTACCAAACCATGGTGTGCATCACCATGGTTTGCCATTGTAAGTCCTGCACTGCTACCAGCACCTCTTATGCCTAGAATAATGTTACCTGTTTCACCCATACTGGCCCTTATTTGGCCACTTCCGTTACCTGTTTGACCACCTTCAGTTTGTCCTTCACCACCGGTCTCTTTCTGGCTACCGCCTGCGCCTGTGTTGTTTCCCGCGTTGATCATGGTTTTATTTCTGCCCATTCCATAACTGTACCGTCTTTATATTACTTTTGCTCGCAAAAATTTTAACTTACGACTTTTACCGCTGCCACGATGTTTTAGCGGAGGCTTCAATAAATAGTATTACAGTTGGTTTGGATATTTTAAGTACTTTATTACAGCTATGCAAAATATAACATAAGGGAACAACGTCCGTGATGACAATTAAAGTTGAAAATTTTCAATTACCTTTTTAACCAGTATTACCGGTAAACTGAAACTGACGCTGATACAAGTTTATATAGAAATCAAAAAAAAGATGGGAAATGTTTAGAAAAAGATAGAAAAAAAAATCGGATAAGAAAGTTAAAAATGGTTCAACTCTATTGCGGATCCGCAAAAGAAAGTTGACGTTTTCCCGCCAACGGAATTATTTCAAAAATTCCGCACCCGCAATCCGGAATTCCGCATCATGAGAACTATGCTTAAGGGGTCCAGAGGTACGAACCTTGGAGGACGCCTGATGATACTAAGATTTGAGAAGATGTAAAGTGCTATTTAGGTCCTACTTGTGATACAGCTCTATTTCAAATATTTTTAGAATAGCATTGAGGATACTTATAGGGCCATAATTAGTCACATTTTCTGAATCACCTGATTTGTGAATGGATATCACAAAACTTGATTCCCAGAAATCTAGAAATATATCGTCCTGTAGTGACTTGTCGAAATTTTCTATTTCATGAAGGTAAATATTATTCTATAGGCTTACAAACTAACTAAATTTCGTTTATTTAGGTATAAAAGTCCCCTTAGACACAGGCACGGCTTCCATGATTTCTCCAAGTCAGCCTTTCAGAATTCTTCTAAGCCTGAAGCAAATAATCACTGACTAAATTCTAAAGTGAAAAAGTAGGTAGTTCATCTCTCAGTGGAGCTGAAATTCAATTAAAAAAAAAAAACACAAAATAATTAATTATTAATTGTTATAAAAAGATTAAAAAATCATTAATTTTTACTATAGTAAATATTTTTTTCGTATACCTATATACTTTGGAGAAATAAAAAAATATTATACAAGTAGTTTGACAAAAGTATCAATCCCTACTTACTTAGTAAAGATGTATGTCCTAAAAATCTTTCTTCTTGTAACTGTGCTAGCATACGCTCAAACAGCTGTACTGGATCCAGTAAAAACATCAGACGGTAAGTAGGTAGTACTAAATTTTTTCCATTGATATTTCGGGGATTTCAATATTTTTTTTTGCTGTTGATTCTGGCTTTTCAATAATGTACATATGTACATTCAAGAATCATGTTTGTTTTTGTATAAATGATATTTCTTAAACCCGAATCCTATATTTGAGAGATTACCAATTAACATTTTTTCAATATTCATTTTAGGTTTGGAACTGACTGATCCATTGAAAGCTTTATCGAGAAACAGAAGACAAGATGCTGATCCCTGGCAACCGAACAACAACCACGAGCAAGAGGGGTGGGATGGTTCTTGAGACAAGTTCCAAATTTCTTATTGGACATTTTTAAGAAAATGTATACTTTTATAATGATGCCTATAGTTAGATTCCTGCCTAATCTAAGAAGAATGTAAATTACTTTAAACGTGTTCTTGTAGGCGGCAGACCTCACCTATAAAGAAAGACAAATAAAATATACCTACCCAGTTTAAAAAAGATAAACATCCAAACTAGTAAACATTAAACATATTAATCCAGTAATGGATTCAGGGTGCTATTTATTCGTGATAAAATCGCTCTAGAAATCTTTTGACTTTCTTTCACACTACGGTATAAGAACAATCTTTTAAACAAAAAAAGTATTCTTTATAAAATTTTCAAAAATTTGTGTATATAGATCATAACAGAGCGGAAATGCTGGAAAACATTCCTCCAGCATATCAAATATTTAAATGGCTTTGAATCAGACGACTTTACCGAAGATCTGCTTAATTAAATTAAAAAAATTGTAATAAAATGGTATTCGCTAACATCCGACGTTCTCTGTGTTATAGCCGTTTGCATACCAACTATTTCAAGGAATTCTTAAGATAAGTACCGATCCCTTAAAGTGACAATTCCCCATGTAAAAATGTAATTTTTAAGGATAATTATCGTCGA